TTACTTTTATTATTTAATTTGACAAGCAAAGGCGAGAGAGAGGAAGTCAGAGAGCAAACTGTCAGGTCCAAGACTTGAACCATGGTCAGCCATGTGGGAGTCTAGCACCTTAACCACCATGCAACCTGCCGACCCCTCTATAAATATTTTGATTTCCATCTTAATTTCTTCAGTTATTGAGAAGTCATTCAGGAATAGGTTGTTTAGTTTCCATGTGGAAATAGTTTCTCTGCCTTTGAATCTGTAAAGGCTTGACTGATGCCCTACCATATGATCAAATCTCTGAAAAGGTTCCACACAGGGGTGAGAAAAATGAATATTTTGTGGGGTTAGGGTAGAAAGTTCTAAAGATGCCTGTCAAATCCATTGATTGATGGTATCATTTAGGTCCTGTATCTCTTTGCTTACTTTTTGTCTAAAAGATCTGTCCAAAGGAGATAATGGGGTGTTAAGATCCCCAACAATTATAGTGCTGCAACATATCTCTCCTTTTAGATCTAACAGTCTTTGCTTCACAAATTTGGGTGCTCCTGAGTTGGGTACATAGATATTTATAAGTGTTATGTCTTCTTGATGAATTAACCCTTTTACTACTATATAATGCCCTCGTTTGTCTCTTCTTCTGTTTTTGTCTTAAAGCCTATTTTGTCTGAAATCAGTATCACAACTTCAGCCCTTTTTTGACTTCTATTTACATGGAATACCTTTCTCCAGCCCTTCACTTTTAGTCTATGTGTCTTTATCCATGAGCTGTGTTTCTTGTAGGCAACAGATAGTTTCCGGTTTTTTTTTTTAATCCATTCAGTCATTTTGTATCTCTTTTTTTTATTTTTTATTTTTTATTATCATCATAATCTTCTTTATATTACATTGGATTACATATAACTTTACAGTATATTACATTGCTTTTTCAAAAGGGAATGCCACGTCAGTACAGAGACATTAATCTCCCCACTTCAACATTCAATATCTTTTCTATGTTTTCCCCAATCATTATTTTTATTATTCTAATTATTTTTTAAAACAGTCAATTGCTATTTCTCATTTTGCTTGTAAAAATACTTTGCCCATCATGAAATACTTCTCAGACCAATCCAGTTGAGAATACTATACATGTCATCATCAACAGTTAATAAGCCCTATCTGTTTCTCACTAACGTCCTGCCTCTCTATTGTTCACTTGCTATCTTTCTCTATCCTCTTCTCTTCACTTTCCCCATTCCACACTGTCCTATTCTCATTAAGTACCTTCACTGCTTTTATGCCCTCCAATTTTAGTCATTTTGTATCTCTTGATTAGAGAATTTAATCCATTTACATTCAACATTATTATCGGTGTTTCTGGACTTGTTACTATCATTAAGTTAGCCATTTTCTTGGTTGGTTTTTGTTCTCTTATTTCTGTCTGTCTGACTTTAATTTTCCTGGTATAGCACTCCCTTCAGAACTTCTTGAAGAGCTGGTCTAGAGTTGGTAAATTCTTTCAGGTTTTGTTTATCTGAAAATTTTCTTCCCATATGAAGGATAATCTTGCCAGAGATAGTAACCTAGGCTGAAACTGTTTTTCATTTAACTCTTTGAATGTATCTTCCCATTCTTTCTTTGCCCATATTGTTTCTGATGAGAGGTCTGGTAGTAACCTGATGGGATAACATTTATTGTTTGATGTTTCTCTCTTTGATGTTTCTCTCTTGACAACTTTAGTATCTTGTCTTTGTCTGTGGCTTTGGCCAATCTGGCTATGATGTGCCCTGAAGATCTTCTTGAGTTGATTCTATTTGGGGTCCTTTGTCTTTCTTGGATCTGGATATCTGAATGCCTCTCTAGATTTGGAAAATTTTCTTCCAGGATTTCATAGACTAGATTATCAATGCCCTTATTATTTTCTTCACCTTCTGTGAAACCAATTATCCAGATGTTTGGGCATTTAATGGTATCTAGTATTTCTCACATATTGTCCTCATTTTTGTTTGTTATTTTCTCAGTCTTTTTGATAATTTTTTTCTAGGTCAGAGATTTTTGTGTTCTACATCCAAGATTTTATCTTCTACATGATCTAAATGTTTTTATATTTTCAAGGAAGGTTTTGATTTTCTGTATTACAGTCTTCATCTCTAGCAATTCTGTTTGATTCTTTTTTATGGTGTCTATTTCTTCTCTCAGGACTTCCTGATCTCCTGGAGCTCATTGTCTCTTTTCTCTTGTATCTTCTGGAATTCCTTGTCTCTTTCTCTTGCAAATCATTTCGTTCAAGACACTATAAATATTCTGAATTGTTTATCTGACATTTCCACAAGATCCATAGTATTGTCTGTGGATGATGAGAAGTTGATGTTTTCCCTTGGGGAAGAGATATCTTCTTGGTTTCTCATATTTTTTTGTGCCTCTGGCATGGTTTCTAGTCATCAGGTGAATTATACATTTCTTCCTAAATTCTTCAAGTTAATTCTGAGTTTTCAAAGGCGAGCAGGAGGAAGTGATTGGTGATCTCTGCTGCTCTATCTCCCTGATGCTCACCCAATAACCTGCACTGTTATACTGGACCTGGATAATTTAAAGTTCTCCCAGTTTCTGGAGAACAAGTGCATCTGGGGCTGAGCTGCTGAGCTTCAGTTGAGGAAAACAGAAGGTGTTGCAAGGCACACATGCACTTCAGGAACCACAGAAGTCAGAATTCAGAGGTGTGTGGCTGGGAATCCTCAGTCTCTCTGCAGTGTCCCTGCTGCTCAGTGCAGCCAGGCCCATTGCTGGGATGGATGTCCTGATGGCGTGTAAGGAACAGGGAAAGGAGAGCTTCTCCAAGTCCCAATTTACACACCTGAGAGTTCAAAGGCATGTGGGGGAGCGGATGAGCCATGGTCTCTGCAGCACAATCTCCCAGCCACAGAAGGCTCACTATGCAGCAAGGTCTGTCACTGGGGCAGTTGTCCTGATGACGCGGGAAGCAGGACAGTTTCTGTATTATTAACTCTATTTCATTTGTCCATTTTCTCTTTCTTTAGTGTGTTGCTAATTTGTTTTGTTTTGTTTTGTTTTCAGAGAGCGATTTTTGCTATAGGGTGTGTGTGCTCGCTGGAAAGACAGAGAGACAGAAAGCAAGAAATCACCCCCTGGTGGGATGACTATGCTGCAAACCCTTCTCCTCCATTCTCCTCTCTGGGTTTTGAGCACACACACACGCACACAGCGTGAGTTTTAAGTCACCAGGTCTGAGACTCAAACTGCAGTCAATTTTGTGGGACTTCAGATACCTTTACGCCATCTGCTGGTCATGTAGATTATTTTATAATATAAAGTGCTCTATGTTGCATCAAAAACAATTACAGGGGTCATGGAGTTTCTTTTAGTGAAAGTTCACAGGATGCCTCATCCCAAAAGTAAGCAATGTTAACAGTGTGGATCCTCCAGACATGTGTCTAGGTACTCACAAATACTTTGCATCATGTGAACACAGGGTGTGTTTGTAAATTTACTTCAGCCTTCCTGCTCACCTACTAGGTGTCTTTAGTTCTCCCCTTCGACTGGTCCTAATATCTTACTGCTTCTCTCATTAATTAATGAGCAAAGGTAAAGTGTACTTCAGTCAACTACCCCGGTTAGAGTTCATCACAAATACTGAGTCGTCAGAAAAGTCATGACACATCTTTGCATAGAAACATATAGAAAAATATGTCATGAGTTTCTGATGATGTGTGTGTGTGTGTATACACACAATGTATATCATTTTTTGTTGTAGTTCACATGTGTTCACTATGCAGACACAGAGAGATAAAGAAATAGAAAAAGTGAGAAAGCACCCCCCCAACTGGAGATGGCCATGCTGAAATCTCTTCTCCATCCTCCTTTCTGGATTTTGGACACACACATGCTTCCAGCATGTTTTTTCAAGCCACTGGGTCCAGGACCCAAACTGCATAGTCGACCATGTGGGAGCCAGGTGTCTTAAGCTCCATGCTACCGGCTGGTCCATTAATCATATAAGTATATATATAGATGATTATACACACACACACACATATATACTTCTAGATATATGTATATATACACACACATCTATATATAGGTGTATATATATGTATGTACGTATAGATATATATGATTATGTATATATGTGTGTATATATATATACACACACACACACATAAATATATATGTATACACACACACATATACACACACACACATATACATAGGTTTTGCCGTAGGGTATGTGCACTCATCAGAGAGACAGAAAGAGACAGTGAGAGGGAAAGTGAGAAATCATGCCCAGGTGGATGGCCGTGCCATAATCCCTTCTCCTCCATTCTCCTTCTGGACATTTGAGCAAGTGCACACACATGCCCAATGTGATTTGCCAGCCATCAGGTCTGGGACTTGAACCATAGTCAACCATGTGTGAGTCTAGCTCCTTCTCTACCACACTACCCACTGGCCCCTAACCATATATTTTAATAATTTAATATTATATTTTAATATCTTGCTAACCAGACAAAACTGGAAATGTCTGACTGGGGCTTGTATTGGTCGCTTCTGCCAGCTCAGCTGCAGCATGCTTTCCTAAGTGTGGTTTGCAGACCAAGTTTCTATACACAGTGGGGAAGGAAATGATGACCTTTAGCAGGTGTTTCGTTCAGACCCCTTCCCCATCCCCATCCCCATCCCCCATGAGAAATTAAAACAGAGGGTCAGGTGGAGATGGCTGGAATTGGGGGTGGGGGAGGTTCCTAGTGGCCACAGGAAATTCCCCAGCTTCTCTCTGAAGGGGCTCAAAACAGGCTCGCCAGCTGTCAGCCCTGCCAGGCCACAGGGATGGAACAGGACAGGATGGGGGAGACAGAGCAGAGCCCTGAAGTAGCCACAGAATTCACTCTGAGTGAAGGCACTGAATCCCAGAATACCTCGGCTGTGAGAGGCCTTAGAGGTGCTCGGCCCAAACCCCTTTAACAGAGGAGGATGCTCTCTAGACAAGTGGACTTGTCCTGGTCACACAGGGCAGGGCCAGCTTTGCGCAGTGGCAGTATCGTAGCCAATGAGGTTTATCCGAGGTGCAATTATTGCTAATTGAAACACAGGGCAGGGCCAGACCTAGAGCGGGTTTCCCCTCCCAGCCCAGGGATTTTCACCTGCAGGACACTGCCCACCAGGTCTCCCTGTCCACTTCTCTGCCCACCCAGGAGCTCAGCCCTGGGTGTCTGCTCCCACCAGGACCCTCAGCAACTGCTGGCTCTCACCCCTGCTCCACTGCCCTGGGAAGGGAGCCAGCCCCTCAGTGTCAGCAGAGCAGGGGCTCCTGGATAGCCAGCCTGCCAGACCCCACTGCCTGGAAAAGGGAACCAGGGAGAGAGCTGGCTCAGCCCCAGGTTTCCAGGGAGGACCTGCCCCAGAGCTGCAGGTGAGGGGCAGCTGGGGGGGAAGGTAGAGGAGGCTGGAGAGAAGGGAGCAGCAGGGCTCTGATCCACAGAGGAAGGAGGCTGATGGGGAAGGGGAAGGAGAAGGGGAGAGGAGGAGCAGGAAAGTGGGAGAAAGAGGAAAAAGAGAAAGAGGGAGAGGTGAAGGAATCAGGGACAGTGAGGTAGTTCACAAGGCAGAGTTAAAGATTCACATATGGGCCAGCCAGCGGCAGGATGGTTCAGGTGACTGGATCCCAAAAGGCTGACTGTGTCATTTAAGTACCAGGAGCTTGAAAAACAAACCAGGCATGCGTGCATGCATGCCCAGATTCCAGATAAGAGAATGAAAAAGGGACATGCACAATGGCCATGTCCCCCCTTGTGTATGTGTGTGTGTGTGTGTGTGTGTGTGCGTGTGTGCGCACGCGTGAAGGATGTAGAAAAGTGCTTTCTCACTTTCTCCACCTCTCTCCAGTGAGCACACAAACCCTCCAGAAAAAAAAAAAAAAAAAAAAAAACAGGGTGGTATATTTAAAAATTCACTTAAATAATATAAAATGTTAAACTCTGTAATCAACCTAAAACATGTTTGTTTTTCTGTCCAGTCTCCCTGTCACCACCCTTGGAAACCAACAGCCCTTCAATCTCATCAAAGGCACCCTCCACCTCTCGGTGCTGTCTCCACCCCTCCACGGTGTCTGCAGCCCACCCTGCAGGGGCCTTTTCTCCTCCAGCCCCCCTGACGTAGTCTAGACGTTCAGAAAGTGCTGGTCCTTACGGCGCAACAGAATCACCACAACACAAGCACCTTCTAGTCGGCAACTGGGTCTGGGAAATTGCAGTGTGAACTGAGTCGACCCTTGGCCACCACCATCCCTGTGACACGTCCCCTTTTAACACTGATCCAGGAAAAGGTTTTGGGTTTTTTAAATGGTAAGGATAAATTATTTATCATCACCCTCACCAACACTCCTTCATCACCAATCCCTTTCCCAAAAGAAGGACAAATCTGAACAAGGACGAGTCCAGAAGCCATAAAAAATGTAGGGCTTCAGGCTTCCCAAAAGGACGCAGGGCAAGTGAGAGGTGATGTTCCTTCCAAGGATGGCCTCCGATTAAACTCCACGCGAGGTGTCCAGGCGCATTCACCACCACAGAGGTCAGGCCTATGGAAATTCATTTCAGTGACTTTTTTTTTGAGCTGAAGGGAGAGAACTGCTTCTTCCTGTGCGCATAGATAGCCAGTCCCTAAAATAAGAAATCTAAATTCATTCTCCCTCTCTCTCCTTCCCTTCTTTTTCTTCCTTCTTCCTTTCTTTTTTCCTCTGTGTTTTGGATTTTTTGTTTTGGTGTTTAGGTCTTTTTTAGGGTTGTGTCATAGGGCATGTGTGCTCGTGGGGAAGAGACAGAGAAAAGGAAAGTGAGAAATCACTCCCCAGAGGGGATGGTCATGCTGCAATCCCTTCTCCATTCTCCTCTCAAGATTTGGGACACCCACGAACACGTGCTAAGAGTGATTTTCAAGCCTTTGGGGCCATGACTCAAACCCCTATCAGCCATGCCTTAACCACCACACCGCCTGCTGGCCCCCATTTTTTCCCCTTTCTTTCATAATCTTCCAGACTTAGTGCCTATGGAGAAAACTTGATACACTTGAACACATTCCACCAGTTTAAAAAGTGTTGAACTAGAGAAAGCCTACATTTTGCTGTTGACAAAAATGTCACCTCTTTAAAGGAAGTCTAACACCTCACGATCGATAGCAAAGCTCATTGTCCATTCAAAGCATCCTGTTTTACACGTCTCTCTAATTCATTATATTTCATATCATTCCTTGCAAGTTCATTAAGTGGCTGGGCTGCTAAGCAAAAAAATAACTATAATAAAAGCTTTCACCAAAATTCATATTCACTAGGTCTTATTATCTCCTCATTAGTTTTTAATATTGTTGGGCTTACAAACATACAATCTTCCAGAAAGTCATGAATGCGATACACAGCCTCTGTTAGGACATGGTGTTGGTTTCCTGTTTTACTTAAGTCTCTCTTCTCTCTACTTCAGCCTTTTATTTTTCTCCCTAATAATATAAAATGTTGTAATAATAATATAACATGGACGCTCTCCTAAAGTCTGTGTTAGCAATCTACCAAATCCTTCCACATTTTCAACAAGTGTTTATAAACACTGGGTATATTGGTACCCTGAAGTTTGTGAGGCTGCTTGTCCTTTTATAAGAATTCCATTGTATTGAGCTGCCTGAATCTTGCTCACGCATCTTACCTCATGGAAATTAGAAATCGCTCTAATAGATCAAATATATTTTTCAAGGTTCTGTAGCAGTCCAGGGTACAGATAATACTCACTTTGTTCAGTCATCCTCAGCTTCAGGAAGATCCCCTCTATTTTCCCAGGAAAAATTTTGTCACTGTTTTGCCCAAGAATCATGCTGTGACTAACATGGTTTCATCTGGATGCCCAAGGTTGACAGCATTTTGCGGTAGAAGGAGAAACATTCATATGGATTAAAAAGAGCCAAGTTTCTTGCATCTTCATTTTACCTGAACATAAATTATTTTCAGCATTTCAAAATGAAAACTAACACTGAAGTTAAATCAAATCTCACAAGCAATTTTAAAATAAACCCAAGACCTCCAAAGATCCTGTTCTTTATAACGATCTGCTCAAAGCTGAGCCCTAAGTCCAGGCGGGGAACACGTTCACTCTCCGTTTTCAGTGGAGAAACTCAAGAAGCCAGACTAGAGTTCAGTATCCAGCTCAGGAACCGGCTTCTAAAGCTGCCCCCTCCCTTAGCTGCAGAGACCTCAGGACCGGCTGGGCTCCAGGCCAGGAGTGTTCATCAACCCCAGCACCCCACACCCCACCTCCAGGAGCAGCCTCTTGGTCTCTCTCCCCCTCCCCAGGCAATGCAGCACAAGCACCTCACCTCCCTGGTGATGGTTCCCTAAGGCGGCTGCCCTAGCTCAGATTCCCACCTTGTCACCACCAAAAGGCCATTCTGCTCTTTAGCCCACTCAACTTCTTACTCAGGCAACTGACAATAGAATAGTTTTGGAAAATTTAAAAAAAAAAAAAAATTGGCCTCACTGAACACAGTAGGAACAGGATAGCCATTGTTCACCCCAGGGCTCTAAACTACATATGCTACAATTTGCAGGTGCAAATTGTAGTACATGCTTTTTTCTTTTTTCTCTCTCCAGAGATCTCAGAACCTGAACTGCCCTCCCAGAGCACAGGGGCCCTTAGCCGTCTCAGCCCTGCCCAATCGTCCTCCCTTCCCAGGAGCCCAGACCACTCACTGAGGAGGAGGCTGACGACTCCCAGGAGCCAGGCAGCCCTGCAGGGGTGGAGGTCTCCTGAGCAGGGCCCCATGGCAGGCTGCTTAACTGGTAGAAGATATCCGACTATATGGAGGTAAGAGAGGAAGGACCGCCTGAGCACTGACAGCCCTCACATCTCTTCTCCACCCCAGGGCAGGGCTGGCAAGTTCATTCTAGCCCACCCACCCAGAGAGAGCCTGCTATGGCTTTCCTCAGCCCCAGCTCTTCCAGGACACAGTCAGTAGCAACTGAAGAATAAATGCATGAACAACCAATCTCTGTGGGTGCCTGGCATCCTGGCAGACACGCCCACGCCCTCCCTGGGCACAGCCAGCTTGGCCCTCTTAGCATCAGTGGCTGTCTCAGTTCCTACATCAATGAGTCAGTTTTCGGATTTTCCAAAAAGTTTCAACTGTCAGTTCCCTAAGTGAGAAGCTGTGGGCAAAAGAACAAAAGCTTCTTGTAAGTGTCAACCTCCCACATCCCCAATGTAAATATTGATATTTACCTAGAGCTGGGAGCCATATGGCTTCCCCAGCAGACATTAATACCAGTTATTTCTCTGACTACTCCAAGAAGTTACGCAAATTGTAACACATGGTTTTTCACAGAACATGGTTTTTCTGCAACACAGAAGCTGATAGGCTGGACTGAACATGGCCTTCCCTTTAAAGGCTCTGCAGGCCCTGCTCCTGCTCACTCAAAGGGGCAAAGGAGAAAACTGCACACTCCCTCTGGCCACAGCCTAACCTCTCTCCTGCTCACTATCACCCTCTGAGGCTCAGGCCTGCTTCTCTCCTGACCTGGACACCCCACAACATCTGAGAGTTGTCTGAGAGAGCATCATTCTTTACTTTTTAGAGAGATATTTCTGCTATAGGGCGTGTACACTCACCAGGGAGAGAGAGCCAGAAAGCAAGAAATTACTCCTTGGGGGAATGGCCACATCACAATCCTTTCTCTCCCATCTCCTTTCGGGATTTGGGGCATGCTCCTGGCCTGAGTTTCAAGCCTTGGGTCAGGGACTGCAGTCAGCCATGTAGGAGTCAGCCATGTGGGAGTCCGACAACGCAATCGTTACACCACCTGCTGGGTCCAAGCACCATCTTTCTAATCCCTGGGCAGTGACTCCCTTGTTTTCCTCACTGGACCTCCACTTAAGGTGCTCAGCAGAACACCTAGCAATTTTTGAAGATCCCCTAGAATACCTTTCAAGTTGCTAAGACAAGTTAGAGCAAACCCTTGAAGTGAAGGGCTTCACTCGCAAATGCACAGCTGGGAGGCCGAGGCTGGAGGGAAGGGCTGCAGCAGTCAGGGCTCCAGGGAAGGATCCAGAGGACCTGTTCCTCCAGAAGTGGGTGAGGACCAGACACAGCACCCAGTGGAGAACCAGAACACAACATCTGAAA